AGGGTTCGCCTGCATGTGTTTGTATATTTGAGAACAGCTATAGATAAAACAGAAACCAAGGAGCCTGACTCATTCTAATCAAACACTGGCTACAACCTGGTAGCCTTGTCATCTTGTGCCTTTAATCCAGCATGTCCTGTCTGCAACTTGTGCTGGGGACGTAGCTCAATTGGTAGAGTGTGGCTTTGCATGGGTTGGATCCCAGCACTTCATATACCGGATGTAACCTTTTCCAGAACTCCTTTTTGAAGTTCTGATTTTATTTTTCAAATGTGTATGAGGGTTTTCCTTGCATGTATATCCTCGTACTGTCTGTATACCGGTTGTCTGCGGAGGTGAGAAGGTATGGTATCCCCTGGAACTGGAGTTTCAGAGAGGTCTGTGAGCAGCTATGTGAGTTCTGGGAACCTGGGCCTCTTCAAGAACAAAAAGAGCTCGGAACTACTTAGCTACCACACTAGCCCCTCAACTTCTCTTCTCTTTCTTTCTTTTTTTTTTCAAGATTTTTGCTTGTGTGTGTGTGTGTGTGTGTGTGTGTGTGTGTGTGTGTGCAGGAGTGCATGGCTATGGAAGCCAGAAGCTTGTGTCAGTTCCCTTGGACTGGAGTTCTGGGCAGTCATGAGCCACCTGATGTGGGTACTGGGAACTGAACTCAGGTGCTCTGCAGGAGTAGCAAGTGCTCTTAACCACTGAGCCATCTCTGCAGCCCTTGAACATTTTCTTTTAAAGACCGGGTTTCACTCTGTGGTCCCACCTGGCTTCTAACTCTCCTCCTCCTAGCTCAGCTTCCCAATGCTTGCATTTATACCACGCACTGTTACATGAAGCTCTGTGGACGTTTTGACCCAGATTTCCTGCTTTCAGAAATGACCCTGCAAACATCTGTCATTTAGGTCACTTTGTGGCATTCTGTTGCAACAGCGAGGGGCAGGTAACATAATATCACTTCTGATGCTCCATTAGCTTCAGATGAGTAAGACCTCTGGTAGAGGACAGGACCAGTCAACAGGAAAGCCATGGAAAGAAATGTAGATCAGACAGGACCTCGAATCAACATTACGTTATCTTAACTGCAGTCATTCTGTAAATGTTCTTATTTGTAGGAAATTTGTACACTGGTAAATAAAGGGAGACTCCCATAAAGTTTCCTCAAACAGCTCCAAAACAGAGAGTGAATAAATAAAGCTGACCTACAGGTGACAGATAAAGCAACTGACAAACGCTAACTAGAGAATCTGGGTGAAAGGTAGATTGCTTGGTTATTCTCTTATTGAGGTTCCTGACTATTCACAAAACCAAAAACAAGCAAACAAACAAACAAAAAATAACAATCCGTAATTCGGTGGTCAGACTACAGAACTCCCTATAAATGGTTTAAAGGTCACCTCTCACTATAACCAACAAAAGTCAGTCTTAGGTTGGCCCATGGTGCCACACTGGGTGGGAAACTGCCTAGTGTTAACCTCTATTTCCTGTCTCCTTCTAACTCACAAACTCAGGACCTGTACCTGAGCTGGTCCTGATACTCAAACAGGTTTTATCCATTTAGTTTTTGACGAAAATAAGTGGCAGCTGGGTGTTGGTGGCACACGCCTTAATCCTACCACTTGGGAGGTAGGGGCAGGGCAGGGGCAGGAGGGAGTTCCAAGATAGCCAGAGCTACACAGTGAAACCCTATCTACAAACAAACAAAAACAACCAACCAGCCATGTAGCCCTAGATGGCTTGCAACTCACAATATTATGTAGTAGATCAGGCTGGCTTCAAACTTACAGAGATCATCACCCTGCCTCTGCTGCCTGACAATGGTCTTTTCTAAAAAGATAAATTGCATTTATTTTTGGTGTGTGCACATGTATGTGCATGTTATAGCGCACACGTGGAGGTCAGGAGACAGCCTCGTGGAGCTGGTTCTCTTTGAAAACCTTTAGTGGGTTCTGGGGCTGCCCTCAGGCCTGTGGGCTTGCATCTCAGGAATCGAGTCCCACTATCTACTGAGCCATCTCAGCAGTCCATGTGAACAGCTTGTTTTGTTTTTCAAACTTTCATGACTCTTCTCTTCTGGGTCCCCCTTTTTTTTTTATCAGCTATTTTAAAGTATCTCTTTGACAGTGGGTCTCTCTCCTCTACCTACTGTCCTGCTTACCCTGTGCCCCGCCTTGATGTATCTCCTTCACTGCAGTGTCCTGAGTAATCAGATTTTAAATCGAATCATGTGTTTAGTGTGATTTTGCTCACCAGATTAACACCCTCATAGCAGCAGGGGTTCTGATGACTGTGTTCTTTGCACCTACTAGGATTTTTTTTTTTTGGTTTTTGTTTTTGAGACAGGGTTTCTCTGTGTAGCCCTGGCTGTCCTGGAACTCACTCTGTAGACCAGGCTGGCCTCGAACTCAGAAATCCGCCTGCCTCTGCCTCCCAAGTGCTGGGATTAAAGGCGTGCGCCACCACCGCCCGGCTAGGATTTTTTTTAAAAAAAAATAATTTATTCTTATTCTATATGCATTGGTGTTTTGCCTATATGTATGTCTGTGTGAGGATGTCAGATCCCCTGGAACTGGAGTTACAGACAGTTGTGAGCTGCCATGTAAGAGTTGGGAACTAAACCCACGTCCCCTGGAAGAATAGTTAGTGCGCTTAACCACTGAGCCATCTCTCCAGCCCACGCCTACCAGTTTTGGGGCACTACTAACTATGAATGGATAAATAGATCCATGAAGAGAATAGAAATCAAACACCCATCCCACACTTCCTGGGCACTGAGCCCACTGTACCTTGCTACAATGTTAATCTGCCAGAATCTGCCTTTATCAGCACGTGTAGCTGGATCTTCCTGGACTGTCCACCCGGGTTAATGGCTTCAACATTAACTGTCAGTCCACTCTCAGTGGCTATCTGAGTCCCTTCACCTTGCCATTTCCAATTTTATACTGATTCTTTTGTTGTTTTTGCTGCTGTTTTGAGACAGGGCCTCAATGTGTAGCTTTGACTGGCTTGGAACTCACTCTGTAGACCAGGATGGCCTGGAACTCAGAGATCCACCTGCCTCTGCCTCTGCCTCTGCCTCATGAGTGGTAGGATTGAAGGCATCACCACCCGACCCAACCTGTACCACGATTCTTATACAATTATAATTAAAACTCATAGCTGAAATTGCTGCCTTAAACCGAATGAACACTTCTCTGCAACCCAGGTTGGTCTTGAATTTTCAATCTTTCTGCCCAGCCTCTTGAATAGCTGAGATTCCAGGCCTGTGCCAAAAGGCCAGGTCAAACTTCCGACTGTCAATAAATCTGACCATAGGTTTCCCTCTCCGAGATGCTGCCAAAGGTTTGCCGTGTAGTCTTTTCCCTTTACCCCAGAAAGCAATAACCTTGGTTTCATCTCATCAATAACTTATGTTAGTTGTACTTGGGATCCAAGCTTTTGCTAAGAGGGATAAAATTCACAATAACCAAACTAAACAAGATATCAGTGCCTTTGTGTCCTTGAAAAGATCCACAGCAACAGACCCTTGCTCAGACATGGAACCTGAGCCAAAGGTACAGTCAACAACCATGATATGGTCTTTATTTAACTTTTCAGAAGTTTCCTTATTTTCTCTTTTGAACTTATAAATTTTGTGGAGCTGAGGATATAGATCAGGGGTCTATCTCCTGCATCAAGAAAAAAAAAGTGCATTAAAATACTGAATTTTGGGGCCTCCCTTAAAATCAAGATAAAGTATTCATTTAACCCGTTCTCAGCACTGTTAATGTAAAAGGGTCTTACCTATGTTGTTACAAGGGCAAGCTAGAGAGGTAAAGAAGAAATGTAGTTCCTTTTTGTGGCATGAAATCAAACGAGGAAAGAGTACATTTTACTTAGCACTTAAGGGCTTTTTGAAACAAGGCACTACACAGCCCAAGCTGCCTTCATTCCGACTCTATACATCTGATAACGATCTTGGACTTCGAGATCCTCAGACCTCCACTTGAAGTTGCAAGCCTGTGCCACGGTGCCCAGTTTATGTTGTGCTTTGAGATCAGATTCTGGCTTTAGTGCATGCTAGACATCTCCAGGCTAATAAGCATTCTTTTTAAGGAATAAGAACTAAAAAAACAAACGGGTGAAAACTGGCTGTCTCTGAGGCTAAGGAACTCTTTTGTTATCAATCCTACGATAAAACTTCTTAGGCATGTGTACATTTTACATCTTCGAGGACGATGATAATGATACCGCAAACTAAAGTCTAGCTTTCAAAATTTCTAGGACCTGCCAGTTTGGGTGGGAAAAAAATCTTGGATTATAAAATGTAGAGAATCTGGATCTGTTCCCTCTCGCTCTAAATTCAGGCCCACTGCATAAACCGGGAAGCTTCGCAGCACCAGGACCTTCATCCCATGCTTCTAAAAGTCAGTCTAGTCGGCAGTATTTTTAGCCAACGACAATGAACCGTCTCCCGAACGTGACCTTTGTCCTGGTAGCCTTTTGCTCCTATTTGGTTGGGTTCCAGTAAAATCAACAGCTTTCCCCCATTAGCTTCTTCACCCAGCCCGAGATCCTTGGCACCCACTCCGTTCGGGTTTCCGGGGACAGCTTAGCAACAGAACCCCCACCGCCACCCCCCCACCAACTCGCGCCTCTACCGCCCAAGCCCGAAAGCAGGTGAGTCCTTCAGCGCAGGCGCAATCCCGCCCCTCAAGGCCCTGGCCAATCCGTTGCGCGGGTTTCCTGGGCTCTTTACCGCACGGAAAGATCACGTGAACCTGGAGAAGTGACGTCCGGAAAGAGCCCCACTCCCTTTCCAGTGCTACCGCGGTTTCTTGACCTTCTACCTTGCTCTCCTTGGCGAGGAGCCGCTCAGGGACCTCCCCTGGCCCGCAGCAGGGGATTCGTCGGTCCGGCGGGCGGTACCAGCGTCCCGGATTGCAGCTGGTCACGTGAGGAGCAGCCGCGGGGCGGGGCCGGCCGGAGGGGGCGGGGCCGAGGGCTGTCTGGCTCAGCTCTTAGGGCCGGGTCAGCGCCTGAGCTGCGGACACGGGTTATCGCTTTGGCGTCTGTCACTTCTGTCGCCACCTCCTCTGCCACCAAGACTGGCCTCCGTCATGAACCCCGACCTTCGCAAGGAGCGGGCCGCCGCCACCTTCAATCCGGAGTTAATCACGTACATCTTGGATGGCAGTCCGGAGAACACCCGGCGCCGTCGAGAAATCGGTGAGACTGGAGGGCCGGGCCTCTCTCTTCTACCGAAAGAGGCGAAAGACCCCCGTGAATGAGGATTTGGGGCCTCTGGAGTTTAGAGGAAGCCGAGACCCCCAACTTCGATGGGCGCCCGGTGGCAGGATTCAGAGGGGATCGTCCTCCGTTCTAATCTGCTGGGATTCAGGGAGGGTGAACACTTGTTTCTCTTGATGTCATTTAACTCCCTTGCAGAGAACTTGATTCTGAACGACCCAGACTTCCAGCATGAAGACTATAACTTCCTTACTCGAAGCCAGCGTTACGAAGTGGCTGTTAAGAAGAGTGCCACCATGGTGAAGAAGATGAGAGAATTTGGCATCTCAGACCCTGAAGAAATCATGTGGTTTAAAAAGTAGGTGTACCTTATAGTGTATGCCCAAACTACAGCTGGGTGTGTGTGTGTGGAAGGGATGTCTTTTTATCTTGTATGGCGTTTAAAGGCTTAAATTGAACATTTCATGATTCAATTTTATGTGTGAAAAATGCTATTACTTTTGCATCTAGGTCTTTTAGTGAGATAGTGTGCCATATTTGTAAAATGCTAATAATGAACGGTTGTGTCCAAATTTGGTTTTTTTATTATTATTATTTTAAAAAATTTTGAGGGCTGGTGAGATGACTACCCAGCCTAATCATCTGATTTCAATACCCAGGACCCACATTGTAGAAAGAGAATCACCTCCCTCAGATTGCCCTCTCTGACCATTTGCTAGAGGTGGCTGTTACACCCCCCACCACACACACACAATAAAAATAAGTTTTAAATTTAATTTAAAGAATTTTTTTGAACTAGGCCATGGTGATCCATGCTCTAATCCCAGCACTCTGGAGGAGGCAGAGCCAGGCTGATCTCTGATTTTGAGACCAGCCTGGTCAGCAGAGCCAATTCCTGTCTATCCTGTCTGTTTCTGTCTGCAGGACAGCCAGCCAGGGTTACACAGGGAAGCTGTGGGAGACGGTGAACCAGAAGGCAGGGCAGATACTAGGGGAGCCCTGCAGGGACTGGGGGAAACAAACAAATACTAAAAAAGCCTTTTGTTCCAAACACCCCCAATGAAAGTTAAGTGCAAGGTGAACCTGCACTTTGTAAGAAAGCTTCCTGATTCCAGGGGTGTGGCTCAGTGGGACACAGGTTGCCTAGTGTCACTAGGCTGTGGGTTTGATTCTCAGCACTGAGGACAAAAAAAAATAGGGAAGAAAGTGGCCCACTGATTTTCTGAGGAACTGTAGTTGCAAGACCAGACATTAACTGTTTTGGAACACCAGTAAATCTTGTCTTTACGTGATGGGTATTTTGAGTATAGAATATAGGAAATGTGAGAGTCTGTGGAGAGCCCGTCAGGCCGCAGAATGGGCCTGTGGTCTCAGAACCTCATTCTAAGAACCTCGCATTGTGGGACATGATGAGGGCAGTTCCTCATGGTTGTCCTGCCTGGAAAGCTCACCTTAGTCCTGCTGTTCAGGAAAGCAGCTTTCACTCATCCTGTTGTTCTTTGCTTTTCAGTTATATATAAGGGGACTGGAGACATGGCTCAGTGGTTAAGAACACTCATCTTCCAGGGGACCCAGGTTCCCCTGGGCAATTCCCAGCACCCATATGGCAGCTCACACCTGTTTTTAACTCCAGTTCCAGGGTATCTGACACCCCTTCGTACACATGCATGCAGGCAAAACACCAATGCACGAAGAATACATACGTTTCTAAAAATACTTTTTAAAAATTACATATAAAGACCCTCCCCATCCTTAAAGTCATTGCAGCACAAGGGTTTGCCTGCAGCAGCCCTGCTGCTTCTCCTTTATTTCCTTTAAAATCTCTTTGGGGTTTACATAGTAGAGGAACTATCCAGTGTTCTCATTAATAAAGATAAAACCGGGAGGCTGGAGAGATACACCTCGTATCTCTACACCAGTAGAGCCCTTACCTAGATGCACAGTTACCTAGGTTCAATCCCAGCACAGATAGATAGATAGATAGATAGATAGATAGATAGATAGATAGATAGATAGATAGTAAGTAAAGGGGGTCAGTCAGCTTTTAAGAGCACTGACTGCTCTTCCAGAGATCCTGAGTTCAATTCCCAGCACCCACACCGTGTCTCACAACCATCTGTAATGGAACCAAATGCCCTCTTCTGGCATACAAGTGTACTTGCAGACAGAGCATTCATATGCATAAATAAATAAACTTTTTTTAAAAAACAAAATGAAAGTTTTAGACCAGAAGTACACTCAATTTTGCCTAGCATGCTCCAGATCCTAGATTAACTCTGCAACACCTTAGCAACAGCAAAAGATTTTGTTTTTATTTTCTTTTGAAGTTTTGCTTTGTTTTGTTTTGTTTTTTGAGATAGATTAGTCTCAGTCATTTTGTAGTCCAAGCTGGCCTCCAACTCCAAATATTCTTTCTGCCTCAGCCTCTTAACTGCTGGGTTACAGATGTCAGCCACCCTGCGTGGCTTAAAAAGATTAAATGTTGTTAAAAATATGCTTTCAAAAACTAATATAAACATTGCAAGTCCTGCCCTTCTGTGGTAATGGGCATTTCTTTTTCCTTTGAGTTATAGATGCAATGCATTCAGAGTCTGCTTGTGACTTAGTTTACTCATTACTGTGACAATGAAATGGTTTGCTCTGCTCCTTAGGCCTTCCTCAGAACTCAACTTAATCTTACTAGTCAGAAATACTAGTTTGCTTGTGCCTGTAATCTGAGCACATGGGAGGTGGAGGCAGGTCACAGTCATCCTTACATAGATCCAGCTTGAGGACAGTCCAATCTCTGTTTACAACTTGCTGTGCTTAGTTTTGGCAGCCCAAATCAGAAGACTTACCAACTTCCAAATACTTATTTTTGTTTCTAAAGCTTGTAATTTGTGGGATTTGAGTTAAGTCCCAGGAAAGTGTTGCAAACTGGACTGAGTTGGGTTCACAAACAAAGATTGCTGAAATTTTTTGTCTTCTCAGTACAACATGGAGGAGTGCTGTTGTGTTTGGTAGAGTGCATGATACAGCATATTTCATAACCCTTGTAACTGCACGACATGCAACCAGGCTCAAGTGAGGTCACTAGACCTAGAACAAAGTCCTTCCTCTAGACTGAGCCTCGATTTCGAATGAAATACTAGCGATAAGTTTCAGTGGCCTTTGAGACAGAGAAGTGTTCCCAGGACGCGAGGGGAGATGTGTTTACGTTGGAGGAGGAGACTGGAGGTTAGCCTTGGTACTGACTGCTGTCAAGGCTCTCTGTGAGCATATAGGTCCATCTGTGTCTTCAACTCTGACTGAAACTCAGCATCAGAATTTTATGTGCTGCCAAGAAAAACTTATCATTATTCTTTCTTGCCCAGTTTCTTTTTTTGTCTTAATTTTTATCATCATTATTTACTTGTGTGTTTGTGTGTGTGTGTGTGTGTGCGTGCGCACGTGCGCACGTGTATGCATGTGCCCAAGGTTAGGGGCATTCCATGCAGCTGGAGTTAAAAGCTGCCTGATATGGGTGCTGGGAGTTGGACTCTGGTCCTCGGCAAGAACAGTACATGTTCTTAACCACTGAGCCATCTCTCCAGCCCTCTTGCCCAGTTTCTTGTCATTTGATATAGATGGCTTATTTTTCACCTAGTAATAAAAATTTAGAGGGGAAAAAAACCCTTACCATAATTATAAAATACAATGGATAGATGCTCAATGAGGGCTGAGTACTAGAATTGAGGCACAAGGATTTCCAGGAATTTAGGGCGTTTACTGTTCTCTTTGTTATGTGTTTATATAACTCCCCCCCCCCCCCCACCTGTTTGTTTTTGGTTTTTGAGGCAGGGTTTTACTGTGTAGCCTTGACAGTGTAGATCAGGCTGGCTACAAACGCAGAGATGTGCCTGCCTCTGCCTCCTGAGTGCTAGCATTGAAGGTGTGCATCACCACTGCACCCAGCTCTTCCTCCTCCTCTTCCTCCTCTTCCTTCTTCTCTTCCTCCTCCTCCTCTTCCTCCTCTTCCTTCTTCTCTTCCTCTTCCTCCTCTTCCTCCTCTTCCTCCTCCTCTTCCTCCTCTTCCTCCTCCTCTTCCTCCTTCTCTTTATCCTCCTCCTCCTCTTCCTCCTTCTCTTCCTCCTCCTCCTCCTCTTCTTCCTTCTCTTCTTCCTCCTCCTCTTCTCCCTCCTCCTCCTCCTCCTTCAAATTCTTCTTCCTCCTCCTTCTTCAAATAAGGCTTCTTTTTTAAAATCTATTTATCTATATTCTGTGTACATTGGTGTCTTGCCTGCATGTATGTCTGTGTGAGGCCGTCAGATCCCCTGGAGCTGGAGTTACAGACAGTTGTGGGCTGCCAGGTGGGTGCTGGGAATTGAACATGGAGTACTTTTAACCGCTAAGCTATCTTTTCTTTCACCTCTGTTATTTCACTTTTTTTTGTTTTGTTTTGTTTTTGTTTTTTTGAGACAGGGTTTCTCTGTGTAGCCCTGGCTGTCCTGGAACTCACTCTGTAAACCAGGCTGGCCTCGAACTCAGAAATCCTCCTGCCTCTGCCTCCCAAGTGCTGGGATTAAAGGCATACGCCACCTTGCCTGGCAGTCTCCCAGTTTCTATAAACCTAACCTGACTATCTTGGCCATGGCCTGTCAGTCAGGTGGCTAGTTCTATACCTCTCTGCTCCACTGCTGAGGTCTGTCCTGGTCCCTCTGTCCAGTCTGTGTCTCTTCTTCCAGCATCCTTCCCCTTCTCCTGCCTTCCCCTCCCCCTTGAAGTTCTGCCCTCCACTTCTTGCCCAAATATTATTACAGCTAATCAGATACAATTCTATATTGCCTCAGACTAGTGAGGAGGAATTAATATTTACAGAATATGAGGCCATTGGTAGGCCATAGAAATAACAGTACCAAGATCCTGCCAGCATTTAGCTCTTTGCTGGTCCAGCGCCATACCTTCGCCCAGTGTACCCCAACATCTCCCTATGGAGCTTAAGCATTCACTTTTCCCCCCCCCCCCCATCCCAGCTCTAGGTGTTTATGGATTCTCGAGTGTGTACTACCACTTCTCGCTGCAGTCTGTTCTTCAGCTGAATTTCATGTGGTTTACAGAAGGGGGAAACAACAAAAGTTTTAATTAAACTTGAAAAACAATAGCATATGTGTCCTGTTTGTCCCCTCCCCCTCTGTCTCCTCCTTCCAGTCAGGGTCTCACCATTGCAGACCTGCCTGGCCTGGAGCTCACTATGTAGAGTAGGCTGCCTTTGAACTCGTCATATGTCTGCCTGCCTCCGCCTTCTGAGTACCAGGCTCATAGAATATGCTGCCATGCCCAGCTCCTCTCATTTTGCACAGGAGCTTTTGGGTTAATATCCTTATAATTACATTTTCCAGTTTCCAGACCATTTTACTGAATTGCTCAGTCTTTTCATTTTCTTCATGGAAATGTGGGTGCATTATATATTCACCATTTTTGGCTCTTCAATTAAACCTTATTTCTCAGAACTTCCCGTGTTTTCTCTTTCTACCCATCCATCCATTCATGAGGGAGAGGGGAGGAAGTGTGTGAATAGGTGGTGATCTCAGTGAGACTCAGACACCTCGGATGGATGCTATGCTGCTCTGGCCCTGGAGGTGATGTAAGGGTCTGTCCCTCTCCTCGGGCTACTGGCGCTCAGCTTCCTCTCTCCCTTTAGATTCCTCTCTCCTCCCATTTTCCATCTGGTTTCTGCTTTGTAGCCCAGACTGTCTTCAAACTCAAGATGCTCCTGCCTCATCCCTTTGCTGTTTTCCTAAGCATGTTCGACTCCAGCTTCTATACAGTTTAAAATAACAGTTGACGAATATGACGTTACAGAAATCAGAGACAAAAGGCAGTTCATCATTGGGAGCTTTTTATTATCATCTATGTAGTGGTTTGTTTTTTGTTTTCCAAGTTTTTTTATGTAGCTCTGTCTGACCTGGAACTCTCTCTGTAGACCAGCCTAGCCTCAAACTCACAGAGATCTACTTGCCTTTGCTTCCCAAGTGCTGGGATTAAAGCCAGTCAGCATCGCCTGGCTCTTCTGTGTACTTATTGTGTTGGCTAGTCAACTGTCTCATGGGCTTTAGGGCATTTGTTTCCAGCGTGCCCCAAAAGCAATTTTTTGTTTTGCTGGGCAGTGAACAGAGTGTCTTCTGCTAGACAAAGCTATGCAAAAATATCTTGCCCCCGCTGAAAGGTGACCTTTCTGCCCTAACCACACAACTGAAAGCATTGATGGCGGAGCAAGCGGTCACTGAGCAGCATGGTAACAGTCCCCAGGACCGCAGCAGTCGCACCCTCCAGTAGACATGTAGTCACGTGAGCTCATCTGTGTTGATTGGCAGCATCAGTCTCAGCCTCAGTGTCTCGGAGTGGCTGTGGTCAATGGAAAGCAGGAAGAGTCCAGGGCTGCTCTGTGTGGTGTTTACCTCTGAGATGGAACAGTAGGCAGTTGCTGTGGTTGCTGTTGCTCCGGCTTTATGGTGACGGGCCCCGTGGAGTGACAGTCTTCCCTTCCTACTGTAGTCAGTCCTTGTGATGAAGCCCAAGGTCTCCTGGATGAGAAGTCTTCAAAGTCACTTAGGTGACACATCATGTGTACTTCCAGTTCTTTGGGTGTACAATGGGCCAAAATGTAAGATGGACCCTTAGAGGACCCGTAGGAAGCATGTAACAGGTGTGCCTAGTTTGTGTCTTCACTGTTGCATGGGTTGTTTTCTGAAAAGGCAGTCGAGGGCCAGATTTCAGCATCATGTGTAGTTTCCTTAATCTGAAGCAGTGTTTGATGGCCACTGGGGGTGATTTTTAATGCTCGCATTAGATATCCTGGAGACCTTTAAAGATCTGTGATCCTGCCCTGAAGTACGTACTTGTTCCTCAGGGCACTTGCTTAGGTCATCTGGGCAGAGACTGTTCTACTCCTCATGTCAGGTCCAGTGGTGAGTGCCTGTAATCCCAGCACTTGGGCCAATGGATGAGGATGCCTGGGTGTCTGAGACTACACTGACCCACGGAATACATTCTGTGTCAGCCAGGGTTATGTAGTGAGACCCTGTCTCAGATTTTTTTTCTTTAAATTACTCTCTGTTGTTTTTTTTAACAGCTATATAAAGAATGTTTTGTGGCGTTCCTTAACTTCAAAGAGAGTTAAACCTGAAAGTAACACAAAAGCTACTCACACTGACTCAGAGCAGCCAGCAGCCAGAGGAACAGCAAAGGCCATTGTTTAGATAAGTGTAGAATTTATACAAGACTTCTTTTTTAAAAAACGAAACAAGAAGTCTTCGATTGTGTCACGGATGGAACTAGACTGAGCCTGCCTGAGGTGCTTGGTCTGCCCCCAGCACCAGAGAAGAAACAAAATCTGGCCCTGAGGTGAGAAGAGACGCTGCAGGAGACCTTGCTCTTGGCTCTTGGCTTATAAAGTAGTAAATCTTACACTTCATTCAGTAGATGAGATCTTCAGCTTTCCGTCCTTCATCCTGAGGGGCAAGATTTTTTTTTTGTCAAGAATGTGAGATTAGGGGCTAGCAGAGTGGCTCATGGTGCTTACCACGGAGCTTGACAGATGGAGTGTGCTTTCTGGAAAGTAAAGGTGGAAAGAGAAGTGTTGCACACAGTTGTCCTCTGTCCTCCACATGTGTGCTGTGGTACACATTGCCTTCTTCCCCATGTCATGCATGCATGCATGCATGGGCGTGCACACACACATACACTAATCCTAATAAAGTGATAATAAGAGAATGTGTGGTGGACACAGTCTGTAGCGTGAGGCTGAGACGCTTTTCTTTTCTCTCCTGTAGACTACATTTGGTCAATTTTGTGGAACCTGTTGGCCTCAATTACTCCATGTTTATTCCTACCTTGCTGAATCAGGGCACCACTGCCCAGCAGGAGAAATGGATGCACCCTGCCCAAGAACTCCAGATAATTGGCACCTACGTCCAGACGGAGATGGGCCACGGTTAGTCCACATCCGAGGGTCCTGGGGTGACCACTTAACGAGGTCAGGAAAGTGACTCCTGCTGTTGGGTTTTCCCTTCCTCTCCTGCTGCCATGTGTTTGGGATTTTATTTTTTTAAATTGTTCCATCAAAACCTAGTTTCTCTTTCTGAGTTTATTTCCTCAAAAAAATAGGTCCAGGGCTCTGATGAGCATCTTCAGTGTCACTCCTTAAAGCTTGTCATTGTCACAGACACAGATACCTATTGATAACAGCTGCTCTGCAGCTTCGAGAGATGGCATTCAAAGTTATCAGAGCACCCAGCTATGTTGGTATGTGTAATTGTGAAGGACTCTGTTGGAAGCTCCTCTGAGTGTTGACGCCTCACCAGTGTCTAGAGGTGACGTCAGAGGTACGGGTGTAATGACACAGTAAAAGCAGGGAACAGTTCTGCTCTTGCATTGCCTGCTAGCTGCTCCAAAGTTTGTAAAACGAGGCCTGTGGTTTTCTCTGGCTGTTTGTCATACAGTTCCTCTGTGAATGTCTGTGGGTCCTTTACTGCCAGTAGCTTTGGATAAATCCTTCCTAAATGCTTGGGTATAGTCAGCAAGTTACAGTCTCAGTGTTGAATAGGATTGTTTTCAGAGACAAAACTCATGGTAAGTCTGCATGTTTTAGCTTTTGTTGTTTGCTTTGGTTTTTAAAGACAAGGTTGGCCTTGTTAGCCTTGAGCTGCCCTTGAACATGCAGTCTTCCTCCCTCAGCCCCCTACATGATGGTAAGTTTGCACCATGTGCCCAGCAGGTGTGAGTGAGTGTTTTAGATTTGAGATGGCCACCTCATACGTCACTGCCATGGCGGAGGGAGTTGGGCATGGGAGAGCAGTCTTATAACCCAGCACTTGGGAGGCCAACGCAGGAAGATTGCAAGTTTGAAGTGAACCTGGACTTTGAAGTTAAACTGTCTCAGAGAACCATACAGGGTGTGGGGCGGATGCTGAGCAAATCTGCATTATAATCTCCAGGGGACCATAGAAGGTGTGTGTGATCTATATCCCAGACACCCGAGGCTTTATTCAGGATGCCAACACTGACAGGGCAGGCCTAGAAGAACATCTCCCGAGGGGAGAAGGCTATAATATTGTGACTTCCTTTCTGGATGTACTGACTTGCATTCTTCATAGGAGGCCTTCTGTGTGAAGTGTAAGGAAGTTAATGTGTCTTTTAGTCTTCTCTTGTTGGCCTAATTTTTCTGCTTTAAGTTTAGAGAGAGGACAGACTGAAGCTTGAGCTCTTAGCTGAGATCAGAAAGTGAACTCATACTTCTTTCTCTGGACAAGTTTGTATACTTCTAATTTGGGATTTTTTTTTTTTGTATTTGAGTCAGTTCAGTTGTGTCTCTATAGAGCGCTGCCAGGGTGCAGTTGTAGAGGATTAAGTTTTGCTTCTTGGTGTTTTGTTCATTTTTGGTCATCTTTTCCACCCTACCCTCATTCTGTCCTGCAGGTTAAGAGGTCAAACCTGTTGGTTAATTTGCGTTTGACAGTATTACCGGATAAAGAACAGGTTAAAACACAGTCCTTTCCGAGTAAGGAAAAGGCAGATCCCTGTCAGCTCTGTCTTTTCCCTTTTATGCCTTCCTGTCCTTTCAGACATACCAGGAAATCTTGACAGACCTGTCTCTGGGTCTGGAGCCTCAAGCAAGGAGAGGCCTGGGCTGAGGAAGATGCTCTGCAGGCTCCAGTGTTGGAGGGACAGTGTGGAAGTCAGGTGTACATTCTTCAGGTCACAAAGCAGGTGACCAGCTGAAGATCTTGCCACTGATAGGGACTGTGCCTTTTGCCTTAGTTCCCAGTACTGCTTTGGTCTAGGAAGGTGAAGCTTCTGTTATACAGATGCTGCCCTGGAAGACACGGTCCTTTCTTCCATCAAACTTGAAAGATAAAGTTGATCTTATGAGTCTTTAATCCTCCTGCATTGTGGCTTCACTGCTGTCCCCCGTCCTAGTCTGAGCTCTTCCAAGCTGACTGGACCCTGTAGGTTCCCATGAGACTTGTGTCTTGGGCTTGGGTTATTGTAATTTTCTCAGCTTTATTCTGTCAGTCTGTCTGTCTTTTTCCTTTAGTGTTGGGATGGAACCTAGTCTTTGTGCTTGTTAGAGCAGCACTCTACCACTGATTGGAATCCGTCGTCCCTCCTGGCTGCTGTAATCTAACTTCTTTATAAGAGCAATGCCTAGCACACAGGAGGCCCTCAGCTCAACTCCCAGCACTGCAGTGGAAAGAGAAAAAAACTGTGTATACACAGATATTTGTTTATAAACATATATACTATTTGGGGTTATGCCTTTTGTCTATTATTATCAGAAATGAATTGCTCCATTGAGGAAAAGAGCTTTTTTCTTTTTTCTTTCTTTTCTTTTCTTTTCTTTTTTTTTTTTTTTGAGTCAGGCAGATCTCTGTTAGGTAGAGGCCAGTCTGATCTACATAGTAAGTTCTAGGCTGATCAGAGCTTCACAGTGAGACCCTGTTTCAAAAATAAAACAAAACACTTAGATTTATTTTTATTCTTTGTGTGTGTGTGTGTGTGTGTGATTACCACAAGTGTGTTGGTACCCTCAGAGTTCAGAAAAGCATAGCAGATCCCCTGGAGCTGGAGTTACAGGAGTTGAGAGTCCTGGGTGAGTTCTACATGAGTGCTGAGACCTGAGCTCAGGTCTTTTGGCAAAGCAACAAGTGCTCTCTCCATCTCTCCAGCCCCTTCTTTTTGTTTTGGGTTCTAAGTAGCTTGGAACTCATTACACGGAGCAGGCTGGTCTGGAATTCCCATCAGTCCTCGCCTCTGACTCTGCAGTATGGGGATTGCAGTTGAGCCCCGTACCTCACAAAGGGGGATGACCCAGGCTAGCTTCAACCGTCTGATGCCCCTCCCTCCTACGGTATTTGCCTGCCTAGGGTGCAGCTCCAGCTATTGACTGTGATTCTGATCTCACCTTGACAAGTTGAAAATAAAAATATTGCAGGAATTCGAGGGTTCTGGCAAAGCTTTTTATTTTCTTTGGAAGTAATTCTCTCATGCTCTTCTTAGGCAGAAACTAGCTTTTTCCTGTTAGTCAGATCTTTGGCAGGAGGGTGTTTGTGGGAGACAGGGCTTGTCAAAGTCCCTTTGTAGACCAGCCTCAAACTTGTGGGGATCTTCCTGCCTGATTATAGGCGTGAGTCACCAGGCCTGGTTTCTCTTTGGCTGGAACTTGGCTTCCTGCAGGCTAGGCAGCCACTGTGCTAAAGGCTCAGCTGTGCTCCCAGCCAGAGCATTTTCCCCTGCTGTTGGCTGCCAGCCTGCCCAGCTCTGTAGCCTATGGAGGAGACTGAAGAGACCTTTCCACATAACATAATGAAGTGACTTTAACACTTCACCAAATGTAATGCTGGTGCTTTATAACTTATGACAAATTATCTTACAGTAGTATATATCCCTGTCATGCATAGTCAACTTCAGTAGAGAAGCTATCACACTCTTTGTACATTCCTAAATGTTATCTACTGCAACTAAGACTTCTGTTAGCTACAAGAGATGTTCTAACAGCGTCTGACTGTAGTACTTCCCCACCTTCTCTGGTGTATTTGACGAATCTGTGCTGTTCCTTCTGTAGCACCTCACACAGATACAAACCTTCCAAGTCTGAAGCAGGCTGCTTCCAGGCTCCTCATTCACTAGCAGTCTCAGATTGTTAGCAACACAGAACAGCTCTCCCGAAAGCAGAAATCGGGGTGTTCCCAGCCCCCAGGCTCCCCGTCTAGGTCAGGGTTACTGCTCTGGGGACCTGGCATGCGTTTCTTTTCCTTACTGGCTACTATCCTTTCGGGAAGGGAGTGCTGAGGGTTAAACCAGGGCCTAAGCACACTGAGCATGAATTCTACCCTGAGTGTCCCCCAGCCTGGTACTCACCCCATCCCTAGTTAAATCCAGGGCCTCCTGTAGGAGTTCTAGGTTTGGGTGTGGGGGATTAAAAGTCGTTTGGCTTTTGTCTGTTTGTGATAGAACAAACCCAAGGCCAATTGTTTTACCACTGCGCTATGCCACCATTACCAGCACTGGCATTTTAAAAGCCATGAATGAACAAAGCATCTTGGGGCAGAAGACAGGGCTCGGCAGTTAAGAGCACCGTCTGCTCTTCCAGAGGACCTGGGTTCAATTCCCAGTACCCACATAGCAGCTCACATCCCTGACTGTAACTCCAGTTCCAGGGCCTCTGACACCTTCACACAGACATACAGACATACAAAGCACCACTGAACATAAAATAAAAATAAATTATATATTAAAAAAAGAAAAGGGCATTTCAGGATGCAATTGGTTGGTTTCATTTGGCTTTTAAGGTAGGATTCCTCTACATGGCCCAAGCCGGCCTTGAACTTAAATCCTTCTGCCTCTGCCTCCTCTATGCTGGGATTATAGGCACGTACCATCACAACCAGTTCCGTTGATTGGTTTCAATGTTTTTCTCTAATTTTAAAATGACTACAAATTCACAGGAAGTTGCAAAAGCAGCACAAGAGTCCCCACAGACCTTTCGTCCTCTCTGCCCATGGCCGACCTTTTGGGATTTCCAGTTTTGATATTTCTAAGGATTTTGGATGGTCTCAACCCATGTTGGACTTGGAGATTAAGCTTGCCGACCAGAGACCAGAGACAGGACTAGATTGCAAACCCTTGTCCTGGTCTGCCACCGCCGTTCTGACGCAATGTGTCGTGTGGCCGTCCACTTTCCTTTATTCTCTATGAGTGGGGAAGAGTCACTGTATCTCTTGTGAATGGTTAGCTGGAAGTGCAGCCGCTTGTCCTGGAGGGGGCCTGGTAAGCTCCTGCTTACCTGGTAAGCGCTGCTTGTCTCCTCCCCAGCTTAGATGGGGCAAGCTGAGAGGATGAAAGGTATGTGGTCCAGGCTTCTTTGTAAGATAATGAAATAGCATAGTAATGTAACACAGCCTGTCATGCACAGGTCTGTAGTTAGCAGCTATAATGGTCGTCACTAGAAGTTGCATGTCTTTAATTGCTGCCATTGTTGGGATGAAGAGCACTGTCAGTTTTTGTGTTAATTTGCACCAGTAGATCCTGGCTGAATATTTGATATGGTGAACTTGAATGAATTCGTTATGTGAAGACTGTGGATCTGTCCTAGATATTTTCTGAGCAAACAGTATCCCAGTCTAGACACTTCACTGAAATTGCATCCAGGAAAACCTTAGCCAGGGTTCGTTTTATCACTGAGAGAACTGCCATGTTCTCCTGTTTCTGCCCCACCCAAGGGCACCTTTGCTCCCGTTCAAATCTCCTTTCCAAATTTTGATTTCCTTTCATCTAATCAGCAGGCCAGAGTCTTGCCTTGAACACATTGTTCTGTGCTGTGTGGTCTGGGTTTCCACAACCCGTCCCTGCTGCTTAAGAGCGATGCCGTTGTTGGCTCTGCCAGCGTAAGAAAGATGCACGTTGTTGAGAAGCATAACTAATACAGAAAAGGGCAGTGCTCCCGTCCGTGGCGAAGTGCACCTGATCGATTCATACTCACAGTTTGTTTTTTTTCCTTCCCTGCTCTGTTCACTTTTCTGATTCTTACACACCTGGTGACACTTCCCTCAAATGCCTGTCCTTGGTCTTTCCTCGAAGCTCTGTGCACCGAGGGCATCCTGAGCCTTTGGACCTCCACTTGGGCATGTTCCTGCCCACCTTGCTTCACCAGGCCACCGAAGAGCAGCAGGAACGCTTCTTCATGCCAGCCTGGAATTTGGAGATCACGGGCACTTATGCGCAGACAGAGATGGGTCATGGTACAGTGTATTTAGTCTACCTTCTGCAGGCCTGCCTAGGTGGGGCTGGAGGTGGTGATTTTTTCATGGTTTCTGAATTGGTGTCGGTCTGCCATTCATTTGCATCTGTCAGCTTATTCCCATATTCTGAGGAGTCAAAGTGTGTGTTCTACACAGCCTCCTTGGTGTGGAATAGTATTTTATAGGTTCCTCACAGGATGCAGCGTGGCGTCCAGTTGAGTTCAGCTGTGCCTGTGAGGACACTCCATCTTTACTGTGCTGTCTGACATGGCCCCCATGGCTTCTTAGGCAGCAGAGTTTACTGAGTGCCTGGTTTCTTGACTTTTCCTTTGAAGGCTGTGGCTCACAAACTGTCCATTTCTGTGGCTCAGTTTGGAAATTTCCAGATGTTTCAAAGTGTTCAGCGAGGCCTCAGAGGTTCTCAAAGTAGCTTGTTAAAAGGTCCTCAGTGCTTATTTCAGTATAAAATGCCAGCCACATTTTAAAATAGTTCTTTTCAAAGAATTACAATGTATAACGGTCCATCTCCAGCAACACATGAGACTAAACACCGACTTCCCCATGAGAAGCACCGAGGTGGAGCCTGGCCCACAGAGTGAACCCAGGCCTTGTTGGACCTATAGATTATTAAATGTTTTCAAGTTCTTAGTTTCCATTTTAGTGGTCATTCTAACACAAGCTGCAGTGAATGTACAGGTCTAACTGGAGTCTGATTCTATCACACATTGCTTAACGTTCTCACAAGTACAGAGGTAAACAGCTCAGTAGAGTCAAAGTTGTCATGTTAAAACGTAGGAGTAGGACCCAGGCTGGCAAGGTGGCTCTGCACTAAAGAAAGGTACTTGCTGCCCAGCCCCATGTTCTATTCCCAGAACCCACTTGGCAGGTGAAAAGTGACTCCCAGTAATTGCTGGGGCTCATGTGTTTACACAGGGCACGTGTGTACACAGAGTAAATGTTGTACACAGGGCACGTGTGTACACAGAGTAAATGTAATGTTTGTTTGTTTTTGTGTTTTGAGACAGGGTTTCTCTGTGTAACCTTGGCCTTCCTGGAACTTGCTCTGTAGACCAGGCTGGCCTCAAACTCACAGAGATCCTCCTGCCTCTGCCTTTCAAGCACTGGAATTAAAGGAGTGTGCCACCACTGCCCAGAGGAAATGTAATTTAAAAAAAAAAAAATGTAGAAGAACTGAGTTTAAAGGAAAGTAGCCATCTCTGTTACATAGAAGAACACAAGTTGCCTCTACATTTTCTTTCATTAGTCTCAATAAATATGGTATATCCACTGAGCCACACTTACAAGTGGGACGCTCAGGACACTGCTGCTTGTGGCATAGTGGGAATTGTCTAATGGGACAGTGACCGTGCTGTGCCCGTCAGTCACCGATCGTTTACAGACTCATTGCTGGAATTTAGCTTCTCTGAGGTCTGGCTGGTCTGTTTTCTTCCCTCTCTGCTATACTGAGGCCATGTGACCTGTCCTTAGGAACTCACCTCCGGGGCCTGGAGACCACGGCCACATACGACCCCAAGACCCAGGAGTTCATACTCAACAGCCCCACCGTGACTTCCATCAAGTGGTGGCCTGGGGGACGTAAGTTGAATTTTTTTCTTTAAACATGTTTTGGATGTTTGTTGCTACTGTCAAACATTTTGAGGACTTATGAGACTGTGATAAAGACAGAGACAGTTTATTAAAGAGAAGAAAGGCCTTTCCAGGAAAGGAAGTGAGGTGACGGGCAAAGGCAGGTCCAGAACCAAAGCCTGCATTGCAACCGGAGAGCCAGAAACATAAAAAATCAAAATACTAGAACATAACCAAGTGTGGTACACGCTTGTAATCCCAGTGCTCGGGACTCAGAGGTGGGAAGGTCAGGAGTTCACACTCACAGTCCCAGTGCTCGGGACTCAGAGGTGGGAATGTCAGGAGTTCACACTTACAGTCCGAGTGCTCGGGACTCAGAGGCGGGAAGGTCAGGAGTTCACACTCACAGTCCCAGTGCTCGGGACTCAGAGGTGGGAAGGTCAGGAGTTCACACTCACAGTCCCAGTGCTCGGGACTCAGGCGGGAAGGTCAGGAGGTGAGACCTTCCTTGAACAGGAAGGCACCCCTCCGTCTTGCTGTTGCAGTTGGGAAGACTTCCAATCATGCGATAGTTCTGGCTCAGCTCATCACTCAAGGGGAGTCCTACGGCTTACACGCCTTTGTTGTCCCTATCCGTGAAATTGGGACCCACAAGCCCTTGCCAGGTAAGAATTGTTCATCTGATATTAAGGTAAAAATTAAAACTGCAAGGGGCTGGAGAAATGGCTTAGCAGTTCAGAACACTGGCTGATCTTTCAGAGGACCAGGGTTCAGTTCCAACATTTACATGGTGGCCCACTGCCAGCTGAAACTCTAGTTCCAGGGGATCCAGTATCGTCTTCAGGTCTCCTGGGGCATCAGGCATGCATGTGGTACATGGGCATCCATGCATGGAAAATACCCACGTACATACAACAAAGTAATGAAAATAAGGACCGGCCCAGTTAAGCGGAGCCGAGGGAGGCGGGGAGGAGCCGAGGGAGGTGAGGAATTCCCAAACATGAGCATCACACGTGCTTCCTGTTGTCTGTGGTAGGCATCACTGTTGGAGATATCGGCCCCAAGTTTGGTTATGAAGAAATGGATAATGGCTACCTGAAGATGGACAATTACCGTATCCCTAGAGAGAACATGTTGATGAAGTATGCCCAGGTATATTTGTTTATTTGCTTATGTTATGTGGTAGTAGATTGTTATTGATGGAGCAGGTTTTCACTGTGTACCCCAGACCAGCTAAGCTCAGGATCAGGACAGTCTCTGACGGCGACTTAGAAGCAGTTGGGATGTGTGTGTGAAAAGTATCACCTGCTGGGTGAACCTGTGGCTCTCAAGCCTTTAAGTAACTTAGAATCATCTGAAAGGCCAGTTAGACCTTAGCTTGTTAGCCAAGTAGAGTGTGTACTTGAGAGGCAAGCGGAAGTGAGTTCAGGGTCAGCGTGAGATACATAGCAAGCCCATGTGTTGTGGTAAATCTCCAACCCAATAAGACAGGTCAAAGAAAACTCAGTCATTATGAATATACACTGCACGCCTAGACTGGGCAGGTTTACCACTACACTACTCTGTTCCCCAGCTATGAGATCCCTCATGACTTGCGGTTTCTCCAGGCCATGTGCTTCTCCTCCATTGTCCTTCCTCCTCTTCCCCTTCCATCATCCTCAAATCAAGCTGTGAGTGAAATTTAGTATTTCAGATGAGTTGCCTGATCCTAATGAAGCCAGGTCCCCTGCTGTTCCAGGAGGCACACTTGGAGAATCAGTCCATGGTTTTGTCACCTCGCAGAGAGACATTTCCGCCTGTTTATTTTCACAGGTCAAGCCTGATGGCACGTATGTAAAGCCTTTGAGTAACAAGCTGACGTATGGGACCATGGTTTTCGTCAGGTCCTTCCTTGTGGGAAGTGCAGCTCAGAGTCTGTCCAAGGCGTGCACCATTGCCATCCGGTACAGCGCTGTGAGACACCAGTCTGAAATCAAGCCAAGGTGAGGGTGGGCTCTGAGAGAAGCTCAGTGCTGAAGGCTTGCTCTCCCCCTGTTCTTAAGAGAAAAGACAAGCATGGGGAAGGGGATGGCATCTGAAATGTATATAATAAAATATCAAATAAAAAAAGGAATACTAATGCTGGGCGGTGGTGGCGCACGCCTTTAATCCCAGCACTTGGGAGGCAGAGGCAGGCGGATTTCTGAGTTCGAGGTCAGCCTGGTCTACAGAGTGAGTTCCAGGACAGCCAGGGCTACACAGAGAAACCCTGTCTCGAAAAAAACCAAACCAAAAAAAAAAAAAAAAAAGGAATACTAAAATAAGTTCTATGATAATTAACAGTTTATAAATCAAATTTGTGTAATGCACCATTTGAACGTCCTTAAACCCTTACTTCAGACAAATAATTCGACAGCTCTGTCAGCATACCGGAAGTCAGCTCTGGCTTTCTGCCCCGGCATCTCTACTAATGTACTTATGCTGCTTACCAGATGCTGAAAATTAAAACACATCAACCAACACACACACACACAGAAGAGGAAAGATGAGAATAACCACTTTACCCACTTCCCTACCTTGGCATCAGCCCCATGGTGCTAGGTGTTAATCCAGGACCTCACGCATGCCAGGCCTTTAAAGGATATAGCACTTAGTATCCATGATGGGAGGAAGTGAGGGCAAGTGGGCTGCCTCTGTCATCTCCAGAGTCGTGGTTAGAATGCAGTGTGTTGACCCCTGTGGTAGGCTGGGCCTTTTATATCATCCTCTTTACATGTGAGTGGACCATTGGGTTTCTGGGTAGTTTGGAAATGTAGTTGTCTCAGTCATACTGGAAATGCTGCAGCAGTTAGAATACTGTCCTATTGTCAGTGCAGTAGAGTGAGCCAGAGCATTGCCAAGGATGTGGTGCTCACCCTTAATCCCGGTATTTGGGAGGCAGAGACAGGCAGGTCTCTGTGAGTTTGAGCCAGCCTGGTCTACAGAGTGAGTTCCAGGAAGCTGGACTATGTAGGGAGACCCTGTTTCAAAAAAAAAAAAAAGGGAAAAAAGAAAAAAGATTCTGACCTTATGGAGACAGGGACTGCCATTGTGACCTGTGTGATGTCAGGCAGATTCCCTGACCTCTCATTCTCCCGTCTGTAAGATGACAGCAGCGATGCCAGGCGGTGGTGGCGCACGTCTTTAATCCCAGTACTTGGGAGGCAGAGGCAGGTGGATTTCTGAGTTCCAGGACAGCCTGGTCTACAGAGTGAGTTCCAGGACAGCCAGGGCTACACAGAGAAACCCTGTCACGAAAAACCAAAACCAAAAAAAAAAAAAAATGACAGCAGTGGGAGCACTGCCTCCGGGAAGGGTCTGTGAGGAGGAGTTCACTGCCGTGTAGAGCACTTGGACTGAAACCTGGAATGTCGCAGGTAAACATTTACTGTTTTTTCTCTATTAGTGACCCGGAACCACAGATTTTGGATTTTCAAACCCAGCAGTATAAACTCTTCCCGCTCCTGGCCACTGCCTATGCCTTCCACTTTGTAGGACGATACATCAAGGAGACCTACCTTCGAATTAATGAGAGCATTGGTCAAGGGGACCTGAGTGAGCTGCCTGAGGTACGTACAGACACGCTTTCCTCGCTTTTCATATTCCACCAGGGATGCTCTTAGGTTCGTGTCTGCCTAATGGCAGATATCCAAAAGCTGCACGTTGGAATTTCCTGAAAGGAATTACAAAATCCCGGAACTTTTTTTCATTAAAAGCTGAGATGTCAAGAAGAAATTTTTATGAATAGAATTTAAAAGGAGAGAGATTACTGTTTGGCCAAGTATAGTAGTTGAGAAAGAGGTGTGAGACTATCACTACTAATTCAGATGGGTCAGGTGACTGCCTCCTGGGCTGTTGTGCACACAGCTCATTCTGACAGTGAACAGCACACTTAGGAGAGGATGTGTTTTCTCATTAGAAGGTGGGTTTAAAGCCAGGGTTCTCATGGCCTGTGCTTGTCCCATAGCTTCATGCCCTCACCGCTGGGCTGAAGGCTTTTACTACCTGGACAGCCAACGCTGGGATCGAAGAATGTCGAATGGCTTGCGGTGGGCACGGCTACTCTCACAGCAGTGGGATTCCAAACATTTACGTCACGTTTACCCCAGCCTGCACCTTTGAGGGAGAGAACACTGTTATGATGCTACAGACAGCTAGGTGAGAGTCACACCGCTGGCTTCTCCTCCTGGGGTCGTCTCCACGGGCTCTCCTGCTTCCCTTTCTCCACCACGAAGACAGGCAGGCTCTTGCTTCCATCCTGATGCACTTACCTTGTGGTTTGTCTTAGTCCAGGTCACTGTCGCTGTGATGAAACACAATGCCCAAAGCAACTTGGGGGAGAAAAGGGTTTTTTAAGACATAACCTGTCCTTTTTTTTTTTTTAATTCATCCTCAAGATCTCAGATTAATAAATACCACAAATTCGAATCACAATTACAATTTGAAAGTTCCACAGACTTTACCAGTTCAAACACTTTAAAAGTTTAGCCTGTGAGACAGTTCAGCAGTTAAGAGCACTGACTGCTCTTCCAGAGGACATGGGTTCAATTTCCAGCACCCACATGGCAGCTTACAACTGTCTGTCACTCCAAGATCTGATACCCTCACACGAACAGATATGCAGGCAAAATAGCAATACACAAAATAAAAATAAATTTTAAAAAAAGTTTTATCTCAGCCGGGCGGTGGTGGTGCATGCCTTTAATCCCAGCACTTGGGAGGCAGAGGCAGACAGATTTCTGAGTTCAAGGCCAGCCTGGTCTACAGAGTGAGTTCCAGGACACCCAGGGCTATACAGAGAAACCCTGTCTCGAAAAACCAAAAAAAAAAAAAGTTTAGTCTCTGTAAAAATCCAAAACTCTTAGAAATTCGAAGTCTCCATGGTGAGCGCCTATATCATCAAAAGTAAGCTAAATCCCTTCCTACTGAGGAGAGAAGAACCGGGGCACAGTCTGTACACAGCAAACCCAAACTCCAGCAGTGTAAATAATGTCATGTCCAGTGTCTAGGATTCCCTCAGGATCTTCTGGGCTCCTCCACTGGCTTGGGTCACTTCAGCTCCTACCCCTGTAACACACACAGCCACTCTTCTAGGCTCCAGCTGGTCCACTCCACTGCTGCTGCTGTTCTTGGTGGTCATCCCATGGCACTGACATCTCCAATTCACTTGTAGTCTTTCAATGTATCTAGGCTTCACCAATAGCCTCTGCTGGCCCCTCTTCAGGGACTCCAACCCTGACACACAGTGCCAAGCCTCAGCTCCTCTCCATGACCCCTTCCTGCCTTCAAAACCAGCACCACCCGGGTGACTCTTACACTACCCAGTTCAGCTGCCAGTCGGAAGTATGATGTTGGCCACCTCTGGACCACAGCTTCTGTGTGCCGACCCTGAGGCTTCACCTCAGCGATGCTGGTCTCTTCTTAATCACAGCTGATTCTTCAGCTCCAGCTGACCAGACATCACAGATTCATCACATAAAATGCATGTAGAGTCTTTGTGTCCCTCTGAGACGTCACAAGCCAGGCCTCCGTTGTCTGCACTGCTCTCCACATTCTCACCGTGCAGCCTCCCACAGGACAGCTCCCTCAGCTCTCAACTCTCAAAGGCTTTTCTAGCCCAAAGTTCCATAGTCCTTCCACAATCCTCCCAAAAACACGTGGTCTGGTCTGTCACAGCGATAGCCCACTCCTGGTACCAACTGCTTTCCTGGTTAGGGTTTTCTGTTGCTGTGATGAAATACCACAACCAAAGCAACTTGAGGAGAAAAGGGTTTATTTAGCTTACATCACTCGGTTCGTCATCAGAGGAGTCAGGACAGGAGCTCAGACTGGACAGGAGCCTGGAGGCAGGAGCAGGTGCTCGTCCTCCTGACTTTCTCACTCTGCTTCGCTTTGTTTCATTAATTTATTTACTTTATTACCTGATCAAAGTCTCCCCTCCTGCCCCTCTTCCCAGTCCTCCCCTCTTACCTCCCCTCCTGCCCCTCCTTTCTCATTCTCCTCAGAGTAGGGGAGGCCTTCCAAGGATATCAGCCCTCCTTGGCATATCAAGTTGCAGCAGGACTTGGCACACCTTCTTCTGTTGTAACCTGCTTTCTTACAGAAGCCAGCACTGCCAGCCCGGAGATGACACACGCAATGGCCTGGGCCCTCCCACATCAATCACTAATTAAGAAAATGTTCTATAGAAGTGGTTCTCAACCTTCCAAGTGCTGCGACCTTAAATATGTTCCTCATGTTGTAGTGACCCCCAAGCATAAAATTATTTTAGTCACTAACTTTGTAACTGTAATTTTGCTACTGTTGTGAAACATAATGTATATATCTCTGTGTTTTCCAGTCATCTGAGGCCACCTCTGTGAAAGGGCTGTTGGACCCCAAGGGTCATTGCCTTCAGGTTGAAGACTGCTGCTCTACAGGCTTGCTTAGAGCCTATTCTTGTGGAGACATTTTCTGAGTTCTCTTCTCTCAGATGACTCTAGCCTGTATCAAGTTGACATAAATTTAGTCAGCATAGCATATGACCACCCTAAGCAGGTACTGAATGCCTGTCATGTAGTGTGAAGTCATTTCAGTGGAGTTGCTAAAAGCATGTGCTCTGGTGGTTTCTAGGTTCTTGATGAAAATCTATGACCAGGTGCAGTCGGGGAAGTTGGTGGGTGGTATGGTCTCGTACTTGAATGACCTGCCGAGTCAGCGGATCCAGCCACAGCAGGTGGCAGTCTGGCCAACTATGGTGGACATCAACAGTCTGGACAGCCTGACCGAGGCCTACAAGCTTCGTGCAGCCAGGTGAGCTCCCCTCATGGGTAAGAGGCTGGCTGTGGGGGCCTTGTGGCTGGGAGCCAGGTCTGAGAACCATTGTTTTCTCAGCTCTCTGCTCTTCCTTCTTGTTTAACAGATTGGTAGAAATTGCTGCAAAAAACCTTCAGACTCAAGTGAGTCACAGGAAGAGCAAGGAAGTAGCGTGGAACTTGACTTCTGTCGACCTTGTTCGAGCAAGTGAGGTCAGTGGCGGCCTCTCCCCTCACCCCGCTCCGCTGCCCTGCCTTAGTGCTGGGTCACTGTGGTGGTAGCCTTCCTTGAGGCAGGCTGGTCTGGAACTCACCAGGTAGCCAACACTGACCTCCAGCTCCTGGCAGTCCTGTTTCAGCCTCTCAGATGTGGGAATCCGAGGCATAAGCAGCACACTCTCCTTTCCAAGGATTCCCACACCCCTCTGTTTCCCTTTCTTCTAGGCGCACTGCCACTACGTGACCGTTAAGATCTTTTCAGATAAACTCCCCAAGATTCAAGACAAAGCCGTGCAAGCTGTGCTGAGGAATCTGTGTCTCTTATATTCTCTCTATGGGATCAGCCAGAAAGGAGGAGATTTTCTTGAGGTCAGTGTTTTGAGACAAGTCTTTTTGTGTGTGTGCTTGTTGTTTGATTTAACAGTTGTCTGTTTATAGTCCTGTGTGTGTAATTTGTCTGCTCTGTGCTCCTTCATTTAATTTTTTCCTTAGGGGAACATCATCACAGGGGCTCAGATGTCACAAGTCAACGGTCGGATACTGGAGCTGCTCACACTGATCCGCCCCAATGCTGTCGCTTTGGTGGACGCCTTTGACTTTAAGGACGTGACACTCGGCTCTGTTCTCGGCCGCTATGATGGGAATGTGTATGAAAACTTGTTTGAGTGGGCCAAGAAATCCCCACTGAACAAAACAGAGGTAAGGCTAACAAAAGCTGCTTCCGAGCTTCTGAATTTTTCATTTAATTTTGTGAAGGTGCTAGGCATGGACCTCAGGGTGCCCTGGCAGGTGCTAGGCAAAAAACTTCTATAACTCTAGCTCCAGGGGATCTAACACCCTTTGTGACTCCCGAGGGAACATACTAATACAGACACATGCACATAAATAAATGGAAAAACTGAAAACATGTATTTAGTTAGTTTTTTCAAGACATGATTTCTCTGTGTAGCCATGGCTGTCCTGGCAGGTGGATCTCTGAGTTTGAGGCCTGCCTGGTCTACAGAGCAAGTTGCAGATAGCCAGAGCTACACAGAGAAACCCTGTCTCAAAAAAAATGAAAAAAAAAAAACACAAAACACAAAAATATTTAAATTCGTTTTTGTATAAGACTGATATATTTTATTAATTAAAATTTTGCTTTTTTTTTTTTTTTTTAAGAAAAATGGAAACTTACCAAGAAAGTCCCTTACTCATGGTCTCCACTTTCCCTGTAGGTCCACGAATCTTACCACAAGCACTTGAAGCCCCTGCAGTCCAAGCTTTGAAGCTTTCCTGGGGACAAGTCTGAGCTCCACAAAGCAACGGAAAATCTCTCCTTGATTGACTAATCCTTGCGAAATCGTCATCAAATTTGTGTAGCTATAGAGCAAATGATGGGTTGACCTTTTCCTCTCTATAAGTAAAGAGAAATGAACAGACTTTAGAGATTCAATGAGAAAGTCAGCATTTTACGTGTAGTAATGCAGACAGAGACTTAGGAACCCAGAGAGCTTGAGAGCTGTGGGCTTGTGTTTATTTGTACTGCTGCTAACCTCTGTAGGCCTTGACTCTGGGGGAATTAACAGATTAACTACAAATACTTAGCTATTTTCACATTTTTACTGCTAATCACTGAATATATGTTTTTTAAACAAAGGTGTGATATAGAGTAGAACTTTCCAGACTTTCTGATCTCCCACTAAGAACAGGAGTTTAGGGGCCGGAAACTAATAGAAACCCTGGTGTGGGTCCGTGGCCGGTACATATGCCCCTGCTGCCTGTTGTGTGGGTGTGTCACCCTTTTTAACTGTCACATTACCATAGTCAACAAGAGGACTCCTTAAATTACCTACCCACTGAGAAACCAGAGCTCCCTCCCGATGGGAGTGAGCACCTGCTCCAGGCTCAGCCTTCCTGGTAGTGGGCCTGCACCCTTTACTCCACCTTCTGACATAGTTAAGTTGCTTGTCTTTACCTCCAGGCTTTCGCCCATTGCCTGGGCTTCAATCATGGTGGCTGACCTTCCCTTGCTTGCTTGCCTTCTCCTGGAGGAGATAATAGAGATAATAACCAGTTTTTCTAAGTCTAGGGAGAGCCCTCAGCTATGGTATTACTGTATTTTGGTGACTTTGTTAAGTAAATTTCCTGGGACAATCCAGATTTGAAAGATTCTGTCTTCTTGTTGTCATAGCTATTAAAATGCTCAGTGGTCACCAAAGTCTTTGACATAAAAAAAAATAAATCGGGGTTGGGGATTTAGCTCAGTGGTAGAGCGCTTGCCTAGCAAGCGCAAGGCCCTGGGTTCGGTCCTCAGCTCTGAAAAAAAAAAAAATAAAAAAAAAAAATAAATCACTCAGGTCACCTTTTACACCAGAAATAACAGGAAAGCCCTGGGCCACAGCCATCTGCTGAGAGTGTTAGCTGAGGAGGTGGATCAAGAGTGAGTGCTGGCTGTGGGGGTTTCCTGCTGAGCAGCTGCCTCTGTGGTAAGCTGCTAGCAGTCTTAAGAGGCAGTAAAGCGGCCCCTTCATATGCACAGCAGCCTCTATAATCATTCTGACTTTAAAGCTGAAACCTGCACCTTTTGTAGTATATGTGTGTATGTATTTTTTTGTGTGGTGATTTTTTTTTTTTCTTGAGACAGGGCCCAGAGTGGCCTTGAACTCTGATCCTCAGCCTCCCAAATGCTGGGGTTACAGGTGTGTGCCGACATGCCTGGCTAATTGGAATTCTTGGTCCTTAAAAGCACAGTAGAGAGATCATTGTAACCTATAAGTCTGTATCTGTGACATTTCTTTTAGAACAGTTCTGAGAACACAGTATAAATGGAGTGGAAATATCGACCTCTGACATAAAATCAAAAACATCAGATTTGTTGACACAAGCCTTAACCTTTCTCCTGGAATGACTGATAATCCCTGAATATTGACAATAAACAGTGTGTCACCTTGTTGGGATTTCTATTGACAGTAATTCATATTCTGGAAAATAACAAATAAATTTAAATGACTGAATCTTGACTGTTACATGTAGACTTATTTCTGACTTTAAATTCTGTATTCAGAGGCGACTGTTAGTAGGCAGATGCATAGGCCTTGGTTCTCAGCAGCGCTGAAGAGGGCATTTACACCACAGAACCACCTCCAACTAAACAATGAGTAAAAGTGTGGGAGCAAAGACAGAGACAGATAGGTGTGTGTGAGCCTGAGGCCAGCCATGTTTACATACTAAGTTCCAGGCAGCCAGAGTTGCACTAGCAGTTTTTCTAAGTGTGTATGGTTGCTTTGCCTGCATGTGATCTCTGCACCACACGTTCAGTGTTCTTGGAGGCCAAAGAGCACGATGGACCGCCAGGAACTGGAATTACAGAGAGTTGTCGGTCCTCCATACAGGCAACTCCAGTTCCCAGGGATCTGAGATCCTCTTGTAGTCAGACTCTAAGGCCATTGCACACACATGGCAAGGAAGAAACAGAAAAGATTACTGTTGCTCAACTCTCTCGAGAATCTCCTGCCCAGGAACGGGCCCGCCCACTTTTAAGGGAAGTCTCCCACATCAATTGACAGTCCCTTCCACACATACCCACGCCACCTTCCAGATGTTTCTAGATAAGCTGACAACACTAGCTTCACAGTGCCCCTTGGTTGTCACCTTCTGGATAAGTGAATTTAGGTGCTTTGCTTATTGTTAGGCCTGCAGACTTCTCTGTGGTTTCACAGAGCTTAGAACCTGCAGTGCTTCTTGGGCCCTAAAACCCTAAAACTCATAGTGAGGTTTTTGTTGTTTTGGTTTTTTGATACAGGTTTTCTTTGTAGCCCTTGCTATCGGCTGCCTCCTAAGGACTGGGATTAAAGGCATGTGCCATCACCGCCCAGCCTCATGTTTTAATCTTAATTCCTGGCTTTCCTTCACAGAACAGCTTTTAGCTGCAGCCTAGAACTTTACAAATTCATCACCTAGAGTTACCTTCAAAGGAAGAGAATTAGGTATAGGGCCAGCAGCTTCCTCAGTGACAGGTTCCTGAAAGGGGAAGAACCAGATCAGGAAATACAGAAAGGAACATTTGGGGTCAGTGTCATGGAGTATCCACCAGAGAAGACTGCTCGAACATGGGTTTAAGCCAATACAAAGTCCTTATTTGCTGGCTGGCAACTGTACTGGGTGTTTGGAATCCTAGTGTAGCCCTGAGCCTTTCTCAGAATGAGCTTTTAAACACAAAAGCCATGTTCTGGATTGACATACTTCAGTTAAGAACAGTTAGAAGTGGAACTACAGACTCCAAAAAGCAAGGTTAGTACATTGAGACTTTCCCAGAACTGTGGACTTTGATGGATTAGGTCTTCGTTTTAGTGTTGGCAGGTAATGCTGTCTGCTTACTGAGTTTTACAGCCTGAATGATACTTCCATCATGGAGTCAGTTGTGTTAAGGTCTTGGGGGCCTACTAAGTCTGGGGCTCTGTTACAGTCTGGAGGTCTCATCCAAGCTCTGTCTTAACTAATCACCTAACCTGTAGGAAGGCTTCCCAGAGGCCCTATGAAAGGACAAAAGGATTGCTAGCTCTGTGTGCTTGCCCAGCGGCAGACTTGGCAAGGTCTGGTCTGAGGCTGGGGCCAGGGCCTTGAAGGATTAAAGATTCAGTTTGTGGGAACTTGACTTTTCCTTCCTGAAGAGACTGAGTTATCAGTCCCAAGACTGTCCTGGGCTTGGTCTGTGGTACACCTGAGATAACCTGTTTTCCTTTTATACAACACTGCTGAAAATTAGCTTCCTGTTGACATCCATTGTACGGTCACTTTCTGCTGAGTCTGTTCCACTTTCCTCCTACAAACATTGTACAAGATTATCCTCCTCCTCTTTTTCCTCCTCCCCCTCTTCTGAGACAGTTGGTTTTGTGTATCAACCTGACACATGCTAGAGTCATCAGAGGAAGGAGCCTCAGATGAGTGATTGCCTCCATAAGATCCATCTGTGGAGCATTTCCTCAATTAGTGATTGATGGGGGAAGGTCTAGCCCATGGTGAATGGTGCCATCCCTGGGCTGGTGGTTTGGGGTTCTATAAGAAAGCAAGCTGAGCAAGCCATGGGAAGCAAGCCAGTAAGCAGCACCCTCCATGGCTTCTACATAAGTCCCTGCCTCCAGGTTCCTGCTGTGTTTGAGTTCCTGTCCTGACTTCCTTCAATAATAAACAGCAATGTTGTCATCCACAGCACAGCAATATGGAAGTGTAAGCCAAAAAAGTCCCTTTTCTCCTCAACTTTGTTTTTTGGTTGTGGTGGTTCATCACAATAGAAACCCTGACTAAGGGGGCTGGTGAGATGGCTCAGCGGTTAAGAGCACTGACTGCTCTTCTAGAGGTCATGAGTTCAAATCCCAGCAACCACATGGTGGCTCACAACCATCTACAATGAGATCTTGTGCCCTCATATGGGTGTCTAAAGACAGCTACAGTGTACTTACATATAATAAATAAATAAATTTAAAAAAAAAAAAAAACCCTGACTAAGATAACAGGTATCTCTGTGTAGCCCTGGCTGCCCTAGAACTCACTTTGTAGACCAGGCTGGCCTCGAATTCACAGAGATCCACCTACCTCTGCCTCCTGAGTGCTGGGATTAAAGTCCAGCGTCACCAGGACTGGCAGCTTACTGAGGTTTTAAACACTCCAGTAGTCCATGATGGTAAAAATACAACAAACCATGTTTTTGGTTATAAATCAGCTTTTTAGTGATTTCAAATTGCTAGCTTCTAATGCAGTTTGGTTTAACCATTTAAATTTGGGTTAATTTCATAAAAAGCTTCATTTTACAATAGATGACAATTAACAGAGAGACAGTTGACCAATGTGCAGAGAGTAAGACACTACGAAAATGCAGTCCTAAGTGAAACATCACACACACACACACACACGCACACGCACACGCACACGCACACGCACACGCACACGCACGCACGCACACGCACGCATGCACATACACGCTTTTCAAACATGACAGGGCTGCTGCACACAGGAACTCACAGGCCGACTCAAGCCCGCCAAGCTTTCAACATGGTTGAGGAGAGGCTTACATAGTATCACTGCTAGCTAAGGAGCTATCGGCAATTGATGGCTGATGGGAGAGCGAGTGCCAGTTTTATTCAAGAACCCCTCGCCCCCCGCCCCCAAAGAATTCTTCCCTGATAGCCCATGCGCTAGTGTACCTGTGCACGTACCCGAGGCACTGAGTTGTCGTCTATAAGAACACATGAAGTTGGGAGGGAAAAAGCTATGGGAAGCAGGTACAATGGAGGGTGGATTTGATCTAAACATCAGCACATATAAAACTCAAATTTTAAAAATTTGTAGAGATTTGAACCATCTGTGTTGGCAGAGCCGCCACCCTGCCTCTGGCTAGAGATCTATTTACTCCTTCTTTCGACTGCACCTAAGAAAGTGTGTTAAGTGTAGTTCTGAGACACTGTGATGTAGCTGACCTCAAATTTGTGCTACAGCCAGTTTTGACCTAGGAAATTTACAGCCAGGGCCAGCCTAGGTTACAAACGCTCTGATTCTGGGCGTGGCGCGTCCTCTGTGTGCCTTTGTTGATAGTTTTGGGTTTTCTGACAGAGCAGCTTTGATCTTATGATTGACCAAGAGGAAGATCATGATCACCAATTAGCTCTCCAGCCTTGAGGAACTCGCTTGCGCCTGGTCGGGAGATGCTTTCCCTGCGCTTCACGGGAGTGACGTTGAGACAGCTCCTAGCGACTCGCGGAGCATCCAACTGACGCCTTGCCCCCGCCGCGGGGCACGCTAGGAGATGTAGTCCTTCCCGGCACTTTCTGTGGTTCGGCCCGCTAGTGAACGGGCGGTGGACTACAGTTCCTAGAATCCTCCACGCCACCTTCTATTTGAGGCCGGAGGCGGCGAGGTGGGACTGTCGCCGGCGTAGAGGTGGTAGGCCTGGCCGATCCGAGCGGACTGAGTGGAGTCGAAACCCGGGGCTCTGGTTGGGCTGGGTTTCCGTGGCCTTGTTTCTGAAAGGACGGCTCTTAACAGGGTCCCTAGGGATTAGGGAGAAGCGCTATTGTGTCTGGGTTCAGATGGGATGGGCGCGCGGGGGATGGAACATTGAGGGGCACCATGCCTGGCCTGGGGCAACACTCCCGGAACCGCTGTGGCTGAGAAGCGGGCTCACGAATTTGAAAATGCCTTCATGGAGCTGGTTGAATATGTGAAGATGTGACATTATTCTGGGATACGTTGGCCCTTACAAGCCTCCCCTAGAATATGTCCCCCTGTTTTGGAAGCTGCGACAGAATGCATAGGAGATAGCAGAAGTTTTTGGTGTAGGTCGCTAAAGTTGCCATTGCACGGGAGAAACACAAGCATTCCCCTGTGTCCACAACCCCAGATACACTTTGCATTTTAGTAAGAGGCTAGGCACACCGAGAAGACAGATGAGCGCCGCAGCCGCCTTTCTTCCTAGACATGTGAAGGTGGGTTTGAGCGACGTGAAAGAGGCAAGGAGGAGGTAGGGAATGATGGGAAATTCTGTTCCCAGTATGAAATGTCTATCATCTGTGAAAGGAGAAACCAGTACTCACTGTCAGGTTTTGTGCTGGATGCTGCCTACAGAGAATTTCCCGCCAAGGGACCTGGGCCAGGATGTGAAGGATGTGGACTACTTTTGAAATACTCTCCAAGCCAAGGAGAGCCCAATAAGTGAAAAAGGAATTCTCATATATTCTCTCTCTCCCTCCCCCCTCCCCCAATCTGTTTCTTGAGACAGGAGCTCACCCTAGCCCAAGAACTTACTTAGGTTAAAGTCGTTCCCTAAATCATGGCAACCCTGCTTCAGCTTCCCAAGTCCTGGGATTGCAAGTATGAAGCACTATGCCTAACATTTTCTTCTTTTTAAAATTTTAATTTTATGCATACGGGTGTTTTGTCTGTGTGTCTGTCTGTGCACCACATGCATGAAGTGTTCTGGGCAGTAAGAAAATGCATCAGATCCATTCCTCTGTCCCCGATGGGAGCGACAGAGGTTGTAAACCTGTGTGGGTACTGGGGATGCAGTCCAGCTCTTCTGGAAGAGCAGCACACGCCCACTGACTCTCTTTTGATTTTTGTTTTGTTTTGTTTGTTTGTTAGGATTTCTCTGTGTAGTCCTGGCTGTCCTGGAACTCTCTCTGTAGATCAGACTGGCCTCAAACCCAGAGATATCTGTCTCTACCTCCTGAGTGCCACCACCTCCAGGTCACTTTTTCTATTACATACCTCAGGTTGGCCTAGAACTTGTGATCTTTCTGCCTCAGCCTCCCAAGTTCTAGGGTTGACACTAAGTGCGTATTATCATACCCACCTCAGGAATTCTTTTTTTCACTTATTCATTTGAGGTAGTGGGGCACATATGCACATGGAGGTAAAAGGAGAATTTGTAGGAGTCAGTTCTCTATCTCTATCATGTGTCCTGGAGTACCCAACTCAGATAGTAGGTATGGTGCCAAAAGCACCATTACTCACTGAATGACATTCAGTTCAGAAATTATGGGATTATAGAAATAAGTTTGACCTATTCCTGGCTGTCCTGGAACTTGCTCTGTAAACCAGGCTGGCTTTAAGCTCAAAGAGAGCCACTTGTCTCTACCTCCTGAGTGCTAGGATTAAAGAAAGGCTTGCATCACTGCTGCCCTGCAGGGTTTTGATCTCTTAAGTGAAGGATCCTTAATAGCGTTGGAGTCAAGCACTGGGAAATGCTGAATTTTACCTGTTTATTTATTCGTGCATTTATTTATTTTTGAGACTTACATAGCCTAGGCTGGCCTTGAATTTGCTATGTAGCTAAGGATGGCCTTGAGCTTCTGGGTTTTTTTTTTAACCTCTTCCCAAGTACTGGAATTTCAGGATTATGCCATGTCTTGATTTTATTTTTAGTTATATGAATGTATGTGTGCATGTGGGTACAGATGCCCATGGATGCCAGAGGCCTGGATTCCCCTGGACCTGGAGTTCTGGGGGCTTGTGAGTTACCCAACACAATGCTGAGAACCCACCTCAGATCCTCTGCAGAACCAGTTTGTGCTCATGGCTCCTCAGTGGCCTCCAGCTTCAGCTCTTAAGCAGTTCCTTTGATTTTTCTCTATTAGGGAAGATGAACTTGCTGGGCAAGAAGTCACATGACTGGACAGTGCTGTGAGGAGCTGCAGAAAAAGCCCCGAGCCCAGGATGGTAGGCAGAGTATAGCATAAGATGGGTGAAGATAGACCTGCCCTGCCCTGTCCCACCCCACCCTCAGCATCCTGGCTGCATAGAAGTCTTGTGGCAAGGACCAGCAGATGGTCCCATGGTAGGGCAGCATTGGAGACACTTATGCATTGAGCTGAGTCTTTAATCCCAGAATGTGGAGGAAGAGGCAGAGGCAGACAGATCTCTTGTAATTCCAGGCCAGCCTGTTTCAACATTGCAGGCTCGAGGCCAGTAGTTACACAGGAAGACCCCTCTCAGCCCTCCTCCCCACCCCCCCCAAAAAAAAACAAACACACTTTAAGCAGTGAGCAAAGTCTCTTTTAAGCCTCAATTTTTGTTGTTTTGTTGAGGCCAGGTCTCGCTGTTGCTCTGTCTGGCCTAGAATTGCTATGTAGAAGACCAGGCTAGCCTGGCATTTGTAGAGATCCTCCTGCCTCTGAATCCTAAGTTCTGGAACTGAAGGCGAGAGCCACACTGGCCTGTATCTTGAGCCTCTGAGTCCTCTGAATTTCCTTCAAGAAACTTTTTTTTTCATTATTTATTCACTTTATAAACCTAATCCCAGGCCTCCCTCCTGGTACCCTCCCTCACGCAGCCCCTCCTTCTCCTTGTACTCTGAGAAGGGGGAGGTCCCACATGGGTATCACCTCATTCTGTCATATCAAATCACTGCAGGACTAGGCCAGTCCTCTCCCACTGAGGCCAGACAAGGCAGCTTAGTTAGGAGAACAGGATCCAGAGGCAGGCAACAGATTTAGGGACAGCCCCCCATCCAGTTGTTGGGGGACACTGGAAGTGTTTTTAGACACCCTTCAGACACACAGAACAGAAGAAAACGTTCTGGTTATTGCATCTGTCTGGGAGGCTTTTGTGTGTGGTATCTGTAACTCGGAGGAGAGGTATTCGTCCTCAGTCTGGCTCTGCTGGCCTGTAAGGGCTGTTTCTGGGCTCTGAGTAAATCATTCTCAGAAGCTGCAGAAAAACAGAACTGACTTCATCTGTAAGTGCTTCCTCTGGGGGCCTAGAGAAAGACAAAGCATATTTCTTGCCCAGTTCTAAAACAAGCTCACGGTTGGATTTTGTTGATGTTATTCCTCCCTCCCCCATTTTAGGCACAGAGAACCAAGAAAGGATTGAAAGGTAAGTGGAAACGTGAATTATCACCCTTAATCTAAGTATTCTTCTTCTTCCTCCTCCTCCTCTTCCTCCTCCTTCCTTCTCCTTCCTTGTTTTCTCCTTTTCTTTTTTCTCTTTCTTCCTTCTTCTTTTTCTTCTTTTGTCCTAGAATTCACCAGCCTCAAACTCAGAGAGATCTGCCTGCCTCTGCCCAAGTACTGGCTTAAAGGGATGTGTCGTCTCTGCCTAGCTGAGAGCCTTTTTGCCCCCACAAACAAAACAGAACAATCTGGTGAGCAGGCTTAGCAGGTGATGGTGTCTGATGCCTGACAACCAGAGCCCCTAGGACCTAAGCCTGGATGGAGACGACCGACTCCTGCAGATTGTATTCTGACCTCCACAGGAGGTTGGGACACATATTTCTGCTCCAATTTTAAAAGAATAAGAAAAGCTGGGTGTGTTAGTACACCACTCGAATCCCAGCACTCAGGTGGAGACAGGCCGGTCTCTCTGAGTCAGTAAGTCTGCTCTACACAATTCCAGGACAGCCAGGGCTGTGTAGAGAAAGACCCTGTGTCATAAAACAAAACAACAAAAAGCTGGAGGAACAAGAAGGCTGAGTCTGAGGAAGCCAGACTTTGCTGATACACTCCTCCTAGAGAAAGGGGTGGAAGAGCAGCCCTTCCTGGAGAGAGCCACAGGGCTGACTGTACTACCCGACACTTAAAATCAAGTGAATAAATGAAGTTTTAGAAAAAAACATTTCTTACTGAGCTCTGAATCCAAGGACATACTGTTTGAGGTTAAGGGAGGTCAAGGCAAGTAAGGCTGGCTAGGAGGATCATTTCCAACATGCTTGTCCTCTGTGTCTCTGTCAGAAAGTAACTGGAAGGGTGCAGCCAGTGCAGCTCTGGGTGGTGTCAGATGGAAGGCACAGAGAGAGAGCCTGTGTGTGTGCAGTTGCCACGCTGCCCTCTTAGAGGCTGGAAGACCGAGTGCTGTCGTTTGTGTTTTGGGTGAAAGATTTCACTGACAAACCATCATCATTCTTTTTTTTTTTTTTTTTTTAAAGATTTATTTATTTATTTTATTTATGAGTACACTGTAGCTGTCTTCAGACACACCAGAAGAGGGCATCGAATCTCATTACGGATGGTTGTGAGCCACCATGTGGTTGCTGGGATTTGAACTCAGGACCTCTGGAAGAGCAGTCAGTGCTCTTAACCGCTGAGCCATCTCTCCAGCCCAACCATCATCATTCTTAAGAAAGTTATTTTAAACTAGCCGAGGGTATCAACTCGGTATCATCAATTGTTGCCATTAGAAACCATCTGTTGACCAGGGAAGGCTTATGTCAGCCTCTGGGATCAGGGAACTCTGGGACACAGAAGTCTCAGGCCTTCAAGTTTATAAGTGCCACTCTTGCTTTCTGAAGTCCTTATGGCCCCTTTGTTTTCAGGATCCATCGATGATGTCCTTGGTGACCTCCTGGGAGATGACAGTAAGTACTGTCCCTTACTTTCCCTGGGTGTGAGAGGGAAACTGAAAAGAGGTTCAGCCAGCCAAAGTGTAAGCCTGACCAGTTGAGTTCCACCGAAGTACCCACGTGGGGAAGGAGAGAACCAGCTCTCACAAATTGTCATAGTGCTTGCTGGACCATGTGGGGACCCTGTTTTAATTTCACAAACTGTCAGATGGTTTCCCATGGCAACCGTTCCACTGTACATCCCACAGCCAAGTACGCCGCTCCTGCTTTGCTCCTGCCACTAGTGCTTATTTCCCAGCTTTTTTTGTTTGTTTGTTTGCTTGCTTGTTTGATTGATTGATTGATTTGTATTTTCTTATTTGTTTGTTGAGGTGGGGATTGACCCGGGCCTGATCCATGCTAGGTAGCCGTCGTAGCACCGAGCAGTGTTTGGCTCCCTGACCCTACTTTTATTACTTTTCATTTGTGACATTTTCATTTTTCATTACTTTTTGCTGTGATACTGGTCTTGAACTCACAGACTCAGGGAAGAACTGAGCTTTTCATTCTGCTTTCAGAGCAGCTGTGAGCACAGGCCTGCGCCACTAGGTCTGGCTTTTCCCATCTTTTTGGTCTTGGCCATGCCATGAGTGGCTGGGATTCTGTTTCCGCTGCTGCTGAGTATCTCCCCATGTGACACTTATGACACTCTTTGTCATCTTTAGAGACGAATCTGTTCAGAGGCTTTGATGGTTCGTGAATGGGGCACACAACTGAGAGCTCTCTTCTGGGTTTTCTGTAGTGCTGGAGTGGAGCTCAGGCCCTGTGCTTCTTTACTGAGCCACATCCTCCAGCCCCAGGTTCCTTATATAGTATTCCTTTTAAACGATCTCTTGGATTTATTTATTTTTTGTTTGTTTGGTTGGTTTTGGAGGGGTGGTCCACTCTCATGCCATAGCACACATGTGAGAGTCAGAGGCAACTACTCTGTGGGTTCCAAGAATTGAGCACAACTTATCAGGCTTGGTGGCAAGCACCTTTACCTGCTGAGCCATCCTGCCGACTAATTGATTTTTATTTGAGGCAAGGTCTCACTGTGTAGCCTAGGCTAGCCTCAAGCTCGTGGAAACCCTCCTGCCTTAGACTCCCTTGCATGAGCTGCTGTGGCAGCTAGCCACTTATTGGTTGTGTCCGTCCGTGTTGCTGCACTGAGGAGCAGGGCTGAGGGGTGTACAGAGCATCCCGGGCAGCAGCGAGGCTCCTGGTCCCAGGGAGAACACACGTGTCTGAGTCTATGGGTAGGACTCTGAGGAAGCCTTTGTGTGTCTGCCTTTCGTGTGGCACAAGGGTGGGGGTTGACCTGCCCATGCTCTCCTGGGATCTGGGACTAGCTTCCTACTTGGAATTGTACCCTCGTTCACTCACGTCTTTCTCGGGGGTGGCATCAGGCTGTGCCCTTCCTGTGGGGAGGTGTAGGAGAGTGGAGGAGCCGCTGTCCCTGCGGTGTTGCTTCAGTGACTGAACAGCTTTTCTTGTTCCCTTGCTCCAGCCACACTGCTTGAGAAGCCTGCTGAGCCAGCGTCACATGCCAAAGACACAGCGAGCTCACCTCAGTGGCCGTCCTCAAAGGCAAAGTAAGCACTGTTGGCACGTTTCTGTCCAGCCTTCTGTCCCTCAGCTGCACTCCGTCTTGACCAGTGGCCACAGTTAATGTTGAGAGTTTCAACGTATCCCCTCATGTCTGATGTCCATGGAATCTGAGAGTAAAAGACTGCAGGCCTGGGGGTCTGAAGGCCTGAGTTCTAGTCTTCCACCTGTTTCTTGGGTCATGCCAGACCTCTCTGAGCCTCAGTGTCCTTATCCCCAAAATGAGAGATGGCCTCAGATCCCTGATCTTCAGATTTGTTTGATCTCTTGAGAATGAACACCCCACCTTTCTTCTTCTTTTCATCTTGGTAGGGTTGGGATCGCTTTTTTTTAATCCCAGAAGAACAGGTGGATAGATCTCTGTGAGCTTGAGGCCGGGCTGGTCTACATGGAAGTTCCAGGCTAGCCAGAGCTATAGTGAGACCCTGTTGTAAAAGAAGAGAGAAACCAAAATTAAATAAATAAATCTTCTCTCTCTCTCTCTCTCTCTCTCTCTCTCTCTCTCTCTCTCTCTCTTAACTTTGTTTGTTTGTTTTTGCTATTTAGTTTTATTGCTTGTTTTATTTTTGTTTGTTTGCTTTAAGACAGGGTCGTGCTGTATAATCATGCCTGGCTTGCTACTAACCATGTTGCCCATAGTGAACTGGGACAGTCCTCCTGCCTCAGCCTCCTAAACACTGGGATTACAGTGTGTCACCGTGCCCCACTTTAACTATCACTAACTAGTGTGAGTGTAAGCGTGTATGTGTGTGTGTGTGTGTGTGCATGCATATGGAGCCCAAAGCGGTCAGTCTTCTGGGTGTTTTCCCTGTTGCTCTCCCTTCCTGTGAGACATGATCTGCTGTTCTCACCAATCACCTGAACTGGTTGGCAGGGAGCTCCAGGGATTCTCCTATTTTCGAGGCCTTTCCTCATCCGGCACCAGGGATGCAGCATGCAAGACCACACCCAGTTTTCTGTCACTTCACCCTTGGCCTCAATAATTATCCACTTATTAACAACTTATGTTCACAGGACTTCACTGCTTTAAAGAAAAGTAAAAACACAAATTAAGTATGAAAGTTTTGTACTACGTGGTCTTTGAATTTTTGTTTTGTTTTGTGAAACAGGGTTTCCTTATGTAACCCTGGCTGTCCTAGAACTCACAGAGATCTACCTGCCTTTGCCTCTCAAGTGCTGGGATTAAAAGTGTGTGACACTATACACAGTTATCTGAGATTCTATCTCGGTGCACTGGAAAAATCTCTCCAAATTCACTTTGACTATAAGGCTGATCTACAACTCTGTGAGACAGGGTCTCATGTGCTCTAAACTGGCCTAAAGCTGGATATGTACCTGGGGGTGGCCATCCTAACCCTTTTGCCTCTACTTCCCAAGTGGTGGGATTTCAGGCATGTGCTGTTACTCTCCACTGGCCTACCTGCCTTCCTTCCTTCCTTTTTCCTTTCCTCTTCCTCTTCCTACCTTCTTTCCTTCATCCCTCCCTTCTTCTTTTTATCCTTCCTTTCTTGATGCCAGGATTGAACCCATGGCCTTGTACATGCTAAACACATGCTCTAGCACTGAGTAACACCCCCACACCTCAGTCTTAATGTTTTAAAATCTAGTGGTCCAGACACAGGGACCATTGCCGACCTCATCTCTTTGCAGGTTCCTCCCAAAAGACACTGTTGAAGGATTGGCAGGAGCTGATGCTGAGGTGAGCCTGGTCCATTCCCCAGCCCCTGACCGTAGTAATGTCCCACAGACAGTGAGACTGGAATGGCCTAGAGCTGCTTACAGAAGAGTTTAGAAAAGTCAGGGGGGTTGATCATTTTGTTTCATTCTGAGATAGAGTTTTCACTGTGTGGCCCTAGCTAGGCTGTAAGTGGAGCCTTCTGCCTCAGCTCCAGACGAGATGGCGATTACAGATGTGAAACTCATGCACAGCCTGTACTTTTTTTCCCTTTTTGTTTGTTTGCTTTGGATCTTCAAAACAGGATCTTTCTGTGTAGCCTTGGCTGTCCTGGAACTCACTCTGTAGACCAGGCTGGCCTCGAACTCAGAAATCTGCCTGCCTCTGCCTCCCAAGTGCTAGGATTAAAGGCATGTGCCACTGCCTGGCTCATTTTGGGTTTTTGAGATAGGGTCTCGCTGTGTGGCTCTGGCTAGCTTGTACCATGTGACACCATACCTCCAGATTCGTACTTGATTCCTAAAGTAGAGCAGTGTCCATGGATTGCTAACTGGAACCAAACAGCACCCGTTGTCTTCCCACTAGAACAATGAGCTGGGTGGCAGAGCCCCCCAACTGCAGGAGTTGGGGATCGCCTCTTCCAGTGAGAAAGTCCAAGCTGTCTGGCTGCATGGTTAGGAAGTGGTCTTCCTCAAGTCCTGTGGTGGGAATGGCTTCTGCAGCTGAGAGGAGCAGACAATGGGGATACCTTCTGGGTCTCCACAGAGGGGCAGCTTGGAAAAGCTGATCCCTGGAGGGTGGGCATAAGAGACCCTCCCGTTTATGCTGTGTCAGTCAGGCCCTGCCCGAGCTGGACAGCAGGGTGACTAGGGCTGGGGACCCCGCGTGCTGTTGGGTCCTGACTGACATCATGTCTGTGTTTTCACCACCTGTGGACT